CTCTGAAAAGCTGAAAAACCGGAATGCGAATTTTTGGGGGGCTGCCTTTATCCAGCTTTGCAGAAGCTATAAAGCGAGATCTCGATTAAAATATACAGTAGGTACATTTCTTCATTTCTAGTGTGAGGTAAAGCAGAAAGCCTAGTTATCGTATTTTCTTGATTTTCTAGGTTTATTTAGTCTCCTTCTTGGGCGCGATCGGATTTTGAATAGACAGATGACTTACCTCATGCATGCTTACTTGAGAATTTGACTTTTATAGTCTAGGCGGCAGAAATTGTGCAGTTACACAAATTGCCAGAGAAATATACTCGATGGTCCGCAGTCTTTTCGGCGCGCGTTACCCATACAACGTAGCAAAGGGCAACACCATGTTTTGAAAAATTGAGAAGGTTTAGGTGGTTCAAGCGTATCCGGAGCATTCCGACAGTCTCGAACTCCGACATCGCCTGGCTTGCTTCAGCACAGCCGTCAGCGATCAGCAGAGAATTTGAACCCGAGAAGTCCGACGCTTTTGCGCGAAGCTCGAGGAAGAGCCGAAAAGCCGTGGACTTCGGTGAGCAGAGTAAAGTCTAGGCTTTTTTGCTTTTTTTTTGTTTTCGCGATCCCTCGCATCACGTCATTCCTTCACCCTCACACTTTGCAGTCTTATGCTCCCACATCCACACGCCTTAGCTCCTCACTTTCACCGAATCGTGAATGGGCTGCAAGTAGCACATATGACAGGATCTACGGTACAGATAGGACCTTATCCCCAAGTGATCCATCTCGGTACGAGTAAACACTTTGCCAAAATCAACCTCATCCTCTAACATTTTTTCCAGGTCAAGGCACTTCGAAGAAACCACAGTGACAACTCATCGCAGCCCATCACCGCCAAAGACGTTCGTTTCTTCACCTTTCTCTTCGCGTTGATTAATGGTTTCAAAACAATCTTTGTGTTTAGAACATATGATCAAACCACATACCATAGACGCACGCCTTCCCCGCCTGGTGTACGGTACGTCAATTAGAAAATGTTTATGATGAATCGTGTTTGAAAGGCGTTTTAGATCAAGAGATCTTGCTGACCGCCACTTTGGTTCACCCTCACCTACGGGTTATGAAAGGAAGTATGCAAGCCCGTTTGCTGGCGGAGTACGACAGCAGGAGAAAGCTTACAGGTATGGAGGAGTTTTACAGGAAAGGATATTTGGTGACTGTGGGCTTTCGAAATATGATGTAAAAGCTTCTCCATAACGAAGGCGGTCGGCACAAGGTGCAACGCAACTGCGACTCGCGTGTTCGAGCTCCCTCATCACTGGAGCTCATACGCGCACGCACGCCTTGCGTACATGGACGACCGCCTTCCTCTTGGAGTAGCCTATACACCACAAGGTGCGCCTTGAAGTGCTGATTTCAAATCTGCCTACGATATCTGCGAAACGGTCATCCGAAGGAAGTTACAGAAAATTTTGAAGAAAATTCGTGTAGTTTTGGGTAGTCGCGATCATCAGCATCGACCTAATTTACTTCCTAATGCTACGGAACAAATTCTTAGGCAGGACACTATAGTACTCAGACTAACAGATTAATAATAATAAGAAGTGTCAATCTTAATATTCTATGTCT